GGATTGCCACTGTCTCTCCTCATATCTATCCCCTCACCTTTATAGTGTGATTTGGAGTGAATCCCACTACAGAGTTCAATGAAACTTCTGCCACCTCCAAGTGTACATTCTCATTTTCCTTTTCTTCCTCTGCCTCATCCACATCCTCATCACATATTAATAGAACCTGCAAAGTATGATTTTTACACCTGTCTTGATGTAAATTTCTCATCAGACCTATAATAAAACCCCTTGGCCCTCCTGTCTTGTACCTCTGCTTCTGTGAGGCGCTTGAAATTGCTATCTGGATGTACGCCAGTGCTCTTCTACTTGGGTGTTTCCCTCTGAAGAGACACCATTTGGGTCCTACATGACAGGGTCATGGAGATATTCTTATAAGCACATCTAACGATGTTGCTCATACTGGTCTTTTTCCCTTTGATGTTTCTCCTCCACCTTTTATACAAGTTCCATTGTCTCCCTCAGTTCGTTAGGCCTCCATACTTTGAGTTCTGCCCGTATGCCACCTTAAGGCCCTTCATGAAATTTCTCACCAAACCTTCTGCAGAAATCCCCCTTAGTCTACTTGATAACAGCTCAAATTTCTCTCGGTACTCCATGATTGTCCCTTCCTAAGATAAAGTATAAAACTGCTCATGGAGGTCTCCTTCCTGGATTGCTCAAAAATGTTCCAACAACCCATCTTTAAATTATCCCCATGAATTGAGCAGATACCTCGCTTCCCTCCACTGAAACCAAGCTAGGGTTTTGCCCTCCAAACATAGCCCCACTGCCATGAGATTTTCTCTTTTTGTCAGGTCATTGATGGCAAATTATCTCTCCACCCGATACACTCATCCTTGAGCTATCTTCTCCTTCAAAAATCAACATCTATAACTTTCTCACCCTAGCATCTCCACCACAGTTCCCTCTCCCATTATTGTTTCCCCCCGTATATTGCTGGTGAAAATCTCACCTTTCTTCCGTTTGACCCATAGTGGTCATCCACGCCACGAAATTCCCTTTCTGCTGCCCCTCCTTAAGAAGACCTTATTCCACCTCTCATCGGATCCCTAAAAAGTTTTTAGAAGTGTTTTTTGTGTAACAGCCTTTCAGCTAAGTAGTGAGAGATCTACGAATTCTTCCTTTATATTTCACAATATGTATGTGGAACAGCATCACTGAATGTTACTGTTGCAGCAACTGTCCTCCTACACCATTTTGGAAGTACGAAACAATGATAGCTTATTTTATTTGATGAATTGTATCTGATGGATGCTAGCTGCCCTGAGAAATAACAAATGCATGATGGTTAATCTAGTTCGTTGTTAATGTTTTCTTTCTAATAAGGTGATTATTAAATAAGTAAGTCGTTATTTGATAACATTAGTGCCAAAGGCAGCGCTAATTATGATGTCAATCAACTTCACTGCATTCTGCACCTCTGCATCCTGACAAAGCAGCGGCTACAGCAGGCATCTCTACCATCAGATGATAACAAACAGATTCCTTATTAAAAGCAGGATACTCTTCTTGTTGCTTAACTAAACTTACTTCATTTATATAAATACAAATACATGAGGGGGAAGAAGTAAGCTTCTACAGTAAGTTTAATTTCCCATTCATATGTCTTTTTGATGCAATCTAAGGCTCTGATATCAAATTGATACAACCAAAAGCTCAAAATCAAGTAGAAGAATGCTAGGAATGCAAATTATGACACTTCCTTTCGATATCACATAAACAAACACAAATGATGGAACTAAGTAGGAACCAAAGCTTAGAAAATAGTTAGGAAGATACACAAAAAACCAAACAACTAAATTAAATTACCCTCAGAACAATCATGTATAGTCACCTCACATGCAAATCACAAAATCGAAAAATGTGCTCAAAGTACAAACCAGAGATCCACCACATAAATTATAATCCAGCACAGTCCAATGCTCCTCCGACAAACACTAATAGAACATGGCACATCACCACTTATTACTCATAATAGTTTAGAGAAGAAAGATACAGGTGGAAGGAAACTGTGGAAAGAAGTAAAAAAAAGACCGAGACAAAGTATTAGAGGATAGGGAGAAGACTAGCTCACAATCTAAAAAACCCTCGTGTTTAAATTTGTTTTCACCAACCACAACCATTTTCAGCAGCAAATCAACCATATTATATAGGAGAAGACGGGGAAATGACCATAAATTGCTCACATAAATATGCCACCAAAACAGCCAATAGAAGCCATTCAAAATAGCCCACTTAATGAGAAGCTAAAACAGTATAGGAATCAGCAACGAAGGGATCTGAACAGCCAGCAGCTGGGAAAATCGAGAGCCAGCTAGGAAAACAGAGAGCCAGCAGGGAAAACCGGATCCAACAGGAAAATCAGATCAGTCATAATGGGGAAAGCAACCAGCATGGGAAGTGAGTCACGATTAAGCACAATTAGTCATAGTTTTGAGAGACTTATTTTAATGATATTCAGTTAATTGCCTTGCTTGAATTAAGGTTAACTTGCATGCCTATAAAAAATAATAAGGAAAAACCATTGCTAAATCATATCTGCAATTAGAAAATGTACATTGGGAAGGTTTAAACAATAATATAGATTGTCCATTGAGAAATTTGAGGGTAAGATTTAGTTTTTGATTGGATAGTATAAAATTTAACCATTTTGATATATTGATTATATTTGCAAATTAAAAATATGAAACTCAAGAATATTTTCCAAATAAAAGAAAGAATTGATAGGTTTATATTACTTTATTTTCACTTAAATCTAATCCAAGGTAATGCTATTTGAGTTAGAAAATACAAGTGAAGTTATAATGCAATATTATTAGAAAATGCAAAATAGAATGCAAACCTTGTAATTTTTTTATTTAACAATTATAATGAAATATATAAAAATTATTTTAAATTGCTTTATATATAATTATTTTTTACAAGTTTGCTCCCTCTAAGAACTAAAGTTGGTTCTGCCCCTGACTCCACACCATCTCAACATCTCATCTTTGTCCAACATCATGTCAAAATTGCAGACCGACATTTCCTCAACATCGAGGGCGTCGATATGCTAACACAACATCGACATCTGACTCTCGACAGTATTGACCACTCCTCTCTTGATACCATACACAACATCCACGCTCGACTCTCGATATCCTAAAATTAATCATTTTAAGGGCATATCCTAGTTAAATGACTTATTATTTTTCAATTAATATTAATATTTTGCTTATTCAATTTATATACACTATTTTTAGAAATAAAAATTATAATAGTATGACTAACCCATGTTTGTGTCCCATATTTTCAATAATTGACGCATCTTGTATCCGTGTCTATTCATCACAGGTTAGTGTATGATTGTTCAGTAGGAAGAAATTCCGTTGGTGAAAATCTCAACTCAGTAAAGAAAAACTTTTGAGGTAAACCATGAAAACTATTTAAATATAATTTTTGGTCATTTTCAAGGAATTAGAGATTTGAATAGATAATGTGAAGTGTCTAACGGTGCACTTAGTGATATTTAATGTCATTTTTAGACAGTTGAAGTTTGCAAAAGTTCTTAAAAAAAAGTTAGATATTGCATTAAGAAATACTATTTCAAAGCTAGAGCATTTTGAAGAATTTAAATGCACAAAAATAATTAAAGTGGGCAATTATGTTTATAGTATAACAATGTTTTATCATTTAAATTTTGTGTAGTTATTAAAATGGAAATTTCTATATATATATATATATATATATATGATAGTTTATTCAAAGTGAAGTATGAAATAACTTTTTATATTCTTATGGATAAATTTCTATGTTATAAATGAAGAGATAGACAGAACTTCTTAAAAGTAATTATATTATATTAAGATAACTATGCATATGGAGGAAATTGAAAGAAAAAAAATAAATGTTAATATGAAATAAGGATTACTAAAATGGAAAAGGTATATACATACAAATTAGGAGTTCAATCCTTTATGGTACTGATGAAGGACGTAACATATCCGTGCATATTAAATAGGAAAGGAAATAGAAATAAAGATGGGTACAAAAATCTAATTGTGCTTCTGTAATAAATGAAATGAAAAAGAAATAAAATTTATTTAAAGAAATTGAAGTATGATCTATATTTTATTTAATATTTATATATATAATGAAAAGTTTGACAAAAGAACATGATTACTTATATGCATATTTAATTGCTATAATATAAATTGTAATTGTCCAATGAGTTATTATGAAAACTCAAATTATTAAATTTAAAATGTTAGGTAAATCTTTTGTGGATTAAATAGCTAAAAAAGAAGAGTTCTTCTACAGAGAAAGGAATCAAATGGTAATAGATAAGAACAAATTTGTTATATGTTTAACTTGAAAATTTTGTTTTAGTGGCTCTTCAGGTATAGCATGGATATTAGTGTTTTGAGTAATTATTATTATTGAAAAAATTTTATTAACCTTCCAATCGTCTCTTCCAATCTCATTAACTTGAGCTTCAAGCCCGGTCGTGACATATGGAAATCATGTAAAGTTCATGATTGTATGCATCTCACCCATCAATTATGTACTTTTACACATAGTTGGAGTCTAAACCTATATAAAGAAAAAAATCCCATCCAAGCTTCTGAATAGTTGTTAGATATAGAATTATTTTTCATAAATTCAGAATTAAAGAAATCAAGATTAAGCTGATAAATCCACGCACCCTCTATATGGGAATTGCATCTCAAATTAAGATTTTTTACATTCAGAATTAAAAGAAGAAAAAAGATAGCATGGACAACGAAACTACAATTTTAGCAAAGCTTTTAATTTGACCAATAAAATAAAAAAAGAAAAAGAACAATCAACAAAAGAGTTATTTTATTCCTTCAGATGCTGCAATCCATTAAAAATTAAACGAAGCAAGTTCTGTGGGAGTTAAGATAACTTTAACATATTGTTTGGCAGATATAAAGAAAACAGATTAAAAAACATTAATTCTTTTAAAAAATTAAAACAACACAGCTTAGGCAAACCTGGTAAGCCGACATTATTCTCTGTCTATATTCCTTATGCCTCTTAACCTGATAAATCAACAGACACATTATGATCCATCAAACTGAATGTTTGTCTTTCAAATCTCATATACAAAGCCAACGCATGATAAAAATTAATAATAGGAAAATCGGAACTTGAAATTCTCATCAGAAACAAGATAACCACGCCATCTTACTCAAACTATAAAAAAACAATCATTAATTTTTCTCGAAATAGCAAAGCAGTGATATTGTCAATTTTTAACATGGGTAAGTAGATAAGTTTCATGTGTAACCGGTTCAAATATTGCTTCATCAGCATGTTGAGTAACCGGTCCAAATAATTCTAACAATCAAAATCAGCATGCAGTGTATTCATCAAGATTATCAAGTTAAAATTCATCTAAATGCCCAATAAAATACAAACAAGAGCATCATTTAGTCCTCATAGGGATGATACCATAAATATCTTTTAAATGCTGCACTGGGAACTGATAAAGGTGATTTATCTTCAAGGTAGTGTGACACGCCCTTTATTGAAAATTTTATATTGGATCAAATCTGCCATCTTTCTTGTTAGCTTCATGCCACCTCATTAATCAGTGAGATTATTGTTGCCACCTCACCAATTCAAGGATTGTCTTAATTATAATTAATTATGTATTTATCTTTCATTCCCTCAAGCAAGGAACTACTTATTCCGAGGTAATTTGCTAAAACCAATTTTTCCTTGTTTTTACCTTTTTTTTCCATCACCATGCAACTTATGATAAAAAATGATGAAAAAAATACAGATTACTTAAGAAATACTACTTATTAAAGTGCTTCTGACCATAATATTATACCAATTACTAATAAGTTACTTAAATCATGCAATTGAAGACAATGCTAATGGTGATTAAGTCTGAAATGTTGCCTAAGTGGATTTGCAAGTCTTACTTATTTCTTAGGCTTTATCATAAGCACAGCTAAAATTACCAAGTCAAATTACTTGGAATATTTCAAATATTTATTGGGCTTTTTATGTATATACTCTTTGCATTCTATCTCTAAGAGTGAAGACATTCATCCACCTCTAAGAGTGAAGACATTCATCCACCTCAGAATCCTCATCTTAGCAACACTCAACTTACTTTTATGCTTCTCTTTTAATGGCCACATTCTGCACCATAAAGCATTGCAGGTCTCACCACCATCTTATAGAATTTTCCATTAAGTTTGAGAGGTATTTTCTATTACACAATAGGCACGATACATTCCTCCACTTCAACCATCCAACTTGAATTCTATTAATAATATCCCCATCTATTTTACCATCACTTTGAACAATAGACACAAGAAATGCGCACTCTCATTAATGACTTGACCGCCCAAAGTCACAATCCCCCCACTAGATCTAATACTACTAAAATTACACTTCATGTATTTGTTTTAGATCAACTCAAAAAAAAAAAAAACATTTGGACCCTAGGGTTGACCTCCACATTTAAAGTTTACCTTCAACTCCCTCTCTAGTCTTATCAACAAGAAGAAAATCATCAACAAAAAAGCATAAACCAGGATACAACCTCTTGGAAATGTCTAGTGAGAACATCCATGACTAAAGCAAAAAAGATATAGACTTAAGGCTGATCCTTGATGTTATCCAACTGAAATAAAAAAAATACTAGGTCAAACCTAAATCACTTATCAAAAAAAAAAAAAAAGTTCCAATGGCCACCAATATCCCTCTTTATTTACCCAATCTCAACTCCTGTAGGCTAGGGACCTTCCATAGCATCTATTTGACTTGTTTGTCCAAATATTTGCAGGTAAAACACTAGATGCTTATACTCGAATAATAATATTTTAAATTTAACTCCAAATCTTTTTAATCTAGTTTCATGCCCTGCTTGGAGCTCCTATCCTCTATAAGTATCTCTAGAACCTATAGCATTCCAACTAATTAGCTCTCCAAGACATTTTCCAAATGCTATAAAACTCCCTAAGTCTCCTCCTAAGCTTCCTTGCACTTAGATATCATTGATCCAATAAGCCTTTGAATTGCTTAACCTCACTTCAAATGCATTTAACAGGGCACAATGGAGAAAAAGGATTCATGAAGCCTACCCCACATAATAGAATAAAGGCTTGATGTTGTTGATGTTGTTGAGTGTAGACTGTTTGAGTTTGTCAAAATGAGTATTGGTTTCATTTGTTAATTAGATATTCGGTTTAATAAATTAGTGTTTCATGATATCTAAGTAGTTTTTGGTTTGGCATTAATGCTCCGCCTTGCATTCTTTTTTATGTCCTTCAGTGTTCTAATTTTGTCTTTATATAATTTTTAAATTGTTCTTGGTTGTCCTTGAACTTAGCGAATGGTCTTAAGGTTGGTCTTGAGCCCGCCAAAAAAAAAAAAAGTGTGAGGGTTGGCCTTGAGCACATAAAAAGGTTATTGTTGACACCTTTGTTCAAGAGAGCTATTAGTTTGCAAAGCTTTGAATTTCACAATTAATGAAAGTGGTGGTGAATTTCTATGGGGAGTTTAAAGAATAGAAGTAAGCCTGAAGAATAAATATCGGTGTTCTTATGTGTGATCTATTTTATTCTACTCATCACTCTCACCCTCATATTTATCATTTCATTCTACACTAAATACAGGTGTGATATCATTTCTTTAAGACATTTCAATTTTGCATGTGTTTTATCAAGAAATTTTCATTACCCAAACCACCTCCCCCCGCCCCGTAGCCCCGTTTGGTGTGCTCATGTTATTAATCAATATCTAAATCTGAAAGTATAGCAACAATTTAATTACAATTCTTTATATGAATGACCCAACTAATCTTTTTATTACGACAAAAGCCTTCCAGATTAAACTTACAATTCTCCAAAATCTTCCAAAAAAACAAATTAATATTTCAACTTGCAGATAGTAGCAATAGAAAATATTAAACCTAACTACTGCCGCATAACTAAACCTGAAAGAGAGATGTGGAATTGTAGAAAAAGTTGAGGGTATTTCAGACATAATATTATCTACACAAAATAATTTGTATTTTCTTAGGACCGATTAAAAACGACTAAGATTAAAATCAGAACCGTAAATACCAGTTACCGCGGCACAAAAGCCAACGGAAACCCTATTGCACCTACATTCAATAACCACAACAAGAAATTGTGGAACCAAAACGCATCGTTCGTGCTTACCCTGGCTCGATCTCCCTCAGGCAAGTACCTGGCGAGGATCTCCCTCATGAACTCGAGCTTCGCGTCCCTCGGCGCCTCGAGCATACTGGGAGGGAGGTGGCGCTCCAGCGAGCTATAGATTGAAGGATCGAACTCCGACTGCACATCCTCGTACGTATCTGGCTTATGTACCTTGTTCGGGTTCAGCCTGAGCCGACGATCTCCGTACGGCGCCCTCAATGCCGAGAGTGGCACCGGCGCCCTCAATGCAGAAAGCGGTGCCGGCGCCAATACAGGGGCCGGCGCCAGTATGGAGGCCGCCAATCCGTTCCCCGCCGGAGTGTCCTCCCTCCTATCAACGGCGCCGTCCAATGACATTACTCCAATTCGCAGCTGGCGCGGTATGGAACAAAGAATCACGAGCCCAGCCGCATCCTAAGTGAGAATTACGTGGTTACAGTGCCATAATGATTAATGAGTTCAAAGTTGATGTGAGGATTATTAGGGTTTCGTTTTGATTCAATCGATGAGGAAATCTAATTAGGGTTTGGTGAGAACAGTCGAAGAGCAGAAGGTCAGTAAATACCTCGTAATCGGATAGAGAGAAGGAAATGCCTCCGGTTGGCAAATAAATTACGTTGGGTTGCCACTGGCCGGTTTAGTACGAAACAATGCTCGTCCACTGGTTCGCTGAGGTGCATATTTAGGGTTTTCAGGTTGACGATGAGTGAAAGTAGTGATCCGTTGTACGGTCGTGCCGTTTTTTTGTAACCCTCGTAAGAAGGATTTATTTAGATAATTATTTGTGATTATTTCAGGATTTATATGTATGTGATAGAAATATTTTACTTTATATGCTTCATATTGCCCAAAAAATAGAAAATTATACCTATTATTTCATTTTACGTAGATGTTTAAAATTTTGTTCACACCAATTAAGTATAGATTTCCTTGATCATGAAGTGATCATTTAGCATTTAAGTATCTTAATGTTGTTAGAATTAAGTAATCTTAGGCCCATTAGATTTTGCACTTCAAGACCTTTGATTTAACTATAAGCATGAAAGATTTGAAAATCAGTTGATCATCCAATTAATGCCTTCAAGTTTCAAATTATGCTTCAAGTGATTGATCTAGGCTCATTCAAATTCGGATTGAACCACTTTTGATATCATTGAATTTATCTCATTGAGACGTTTAGTTCAGCTATAAGGTTATTGAAATCGGAGTTTGGCTTGTTTCATATTTAATTTTAGAAGTTTCAATTCAAATATGCAACGATAATAATGCATAATCAAGGTAATTTTTTATGACATATCAATAATAATTAATAACTTTCAACGTATTGTAAAAAATACACACAACAAAATGAATGTTTACAAATAAATGAAAAATGAAAGTTGACCTATGATTTACATTATTGTGAAATAAATCTACATATACATGGTCCCTGAAAATTTGTGCAATCATGAGTAATCTTCAAATTTTTTTTCTTTAATATGAGGTATATAAAGTATTGTATTGCCAACAATCTATAGTCGTCATTGCAATTAAGACAAAGCAATCATCAAATTGTATGTGCAATAACTACTTAAGTTAAAATTTCCTAAGTTTTGAAATGGATTATCTTACTCTAGCTCTTGGGATCTCATCTGTGATTGCTATACTTCATGCCCAAGGAGATTTTTGGGACATAAATTCATATATTTTATCAAGGAGCCCTGATTGCTTAGGCAACTAAAGGAAATACTTGCAAAAATAAATTCAATATTCCCTTCAAGGACAACAATGTGGTGCAAGATGGATCATAATCATACAACTTTATAGGCTTTGTAGGAAGTAAATCTCACATATAATCTAGTGGATTTTATTTTGGTTCATTGAAAAATATATGAGTTTTGCCTTAGCCCATTAGTTTTGGCATTTCTCATTATCTCCAATAGCTTACATAATTGTCACATCAGGCTAATAGAAGGCTTCATTTCCATTGAGCTTGTGATAGCTGCGGATTGTTGATCTATAATATTGATCAAATAATTTGTTTAATATAATTATGGCTGCGTCATAATGTCACACCCTAAAATTCAAATTTGAAAAATTATCAACTTTATATTTTTAATCATTTACCAAAGTTTCTATAAATCATCCATATAACTCTATATCCAATAGAAGCAATTAAATATCATAAACCAAGAAATATTTCACTATATTCATTCACCAAATCACATTTATAATGGTCAAGGGATCACTAGCAATTATTAATCTTTCAAAAGCTCATGACAACAAAGGAATAAAAGAAAATATATAACGAAATCAAAAGAAGAACCCGAGGATTTCAATTCATCTCACTCTAAACGGTCTTGACCAATTAATTCACTGACTTGAAACTAATAAAATAACATAATAAGCTTACAAAGCCCAGTAGAAACCAAAAACTCACTAAAACTTTCAATATAACATTTAAAAAATCAATATGCATTTTCATCTCAATCAATATAATCATTAACATTCAATATCATCAATGAATAGTTATCTATAGTACGATTCAATATGATCAATAACAAGAAGTAAAAAATACCATGCCGAAATCCATAAATCAATGATAGGTACATAACACAAATACATCGAAAATCAATAAATCAATATAATAGCGCGAAAATACCAAGGAAGCTTACTTATCTTTGTAGAGTTAACTCAATTTTTTGCTTCACTATTTTGAAATTCTTACGAAACAAAAAAAAAAAAAACATTCAATTAGAATGAGAAATGCTAAAAAAACTTCCAAGAATTGGAGAAATGTTAAAAATGTAATTGTGCTCAATAATCTAAGGCCGAAGGAGGACATATGTCTTTAACTCATGATCAATAAACATATTATTAATCCCATGCTTATCTAGAAAGTGAATAGTCTGTAGTTCGCAATCTACTATTTTAATAAGACTCTCAAAATCTTCGAATTAAACGACATCATAATTCCCAATATGAAACTAGCCCTTGTCACCTCAACTCATTGATTGAAATCATATTTCTTATCAAATGAAATTCATATTATTACCAATATTGTTCTTCACCAAATGACTCGTTCTAATTGAACATCACCATGAAAGCCTTAGTACTGGCAAGAAGCAGTTTAATTTATGTGCAAATAATGAAGTGAACATAAAGTTGGATTTAGTATATCATCCTCGAACAAATGGGCAGTCTACGAAAACAATTAAATTGATCATTAATTCTATTAAAAAAAGTGAATGAGCACTACGATGATTGGGTATAAGCAGGGGTGGAACCGGGCTTAATTTTAATGGGGGGCAAAGTTATAAGTAACTGTTAGTGTTACCTCAAATTGGCTCAACTCTTCAATACAAAAAAATGGGTCAATAGCGACAAAAAAATAGAGACAAAAAGAAAATGGTCAACCAAAAAAATAGAGACAAAAAGAAAATGGGTCAATAGCAACCAAAAAAATCAAAATGATATAATTGATTAATCATTCAATTTCTACAAAATATATGTTAGAGTTGCCTTGAATTTGGTTCGACCCTTTAGTACACTACAGAAAAATCCACAATTACCTGCGGATATAATACGCCGGTAAAGTTAAAATTTCAACTGAAAAATTACGTTTTTGTCGCATTTCTATCGGATTTTCATACGACGGTAATTTGCGCATCGGCAAAATATTTCCAACGTAAAGAATACGCCAGAACCCTTTCTGGCATACTTTCCGGTGCACAACCGATGAAAAAGTAGATGGTAGTTACATCACTTCATATTCACCTATTCTAGCGTTAAATACGCCGTAATTACCGGCATATTTTTATGCTGGTAATTCTGACGGAACAACAGTCGCTAAATACACCGAAAACGAAACGACGGAAATAACTGGCGCATTGTCCACCGAAAAGGCTAGCTATCATATAAATACGCCGAAAATAAATACAGAATTCGTTGTATCGTCATTTCTGACAAATTACCAGCATTTTATCTTCCAGAAACTTGTATAAAAAAATATTCCCCGACAACAATCAAATTTCCACAGCTACATATTATAATTACAAATAAATATTAGCAACACAAATTTCCACAACTTCACAAATATTCAAAAACAACTACTCGTAATCATAAGCATCACCAAATATTCAAAAACATGATAAATTATTCATTAACATCAATAAATATTCATAAACTTCACCAAATATTCAGAAATAAATCATATGAAACTGAAAAAACTAAACAACTACTCTCAATCCATCGACTCATCCTTCGCTAGAGCTACCTCATTTACACTCAATTGTTCCCTCATTTTTCGCATTTCATCTAACAACTGATTGTGTTGCACCTGCATATGCATCTGTATATGTGCGTGCAATTTCACTTGCCAATCAACTTGTGATTTTCTTACTTGTTCTAGCTTTGCTGAAGGGCAATTACATGTTAATTATATAAGGACTCATGTGAATTTGTTGTGAAGCTAGATCCACTAGAGGTCATCCCCTCGTATGCCTGGGCTTACGAACCTAAACCAAAAATCCTACCATGTTAAATTCCTCCCACCGCTTGAGATAAGATGTAGTACTAAGAATACTCTATAGAGCGGCCAGAAGAACCCTTACCTGCTACAGCCTGGCTCTCTCGAAGCTGTGTATACTCCTCCTGTGAAAGTTAATAAAAATTTTAGCAATTTATTTAGACATAAAATAAAAAATATTAAATACATATACTCTTACTCACTCATCAACCCATTGTTGGTCCTCCTATCGTTTATGGGGGTGACTATGCAATTCCACATAAGTTGGTTTTCTACCCAGCATCTCTTTCTGTAATAGAATTCCAATAATATTCCTATTAAAGAAAATTTTAGAAAACTTTTAAAATTCTTTACTAAACGTCACATGTGCTTAGTGTGTGGAACTGAGCCCCCAATATGAAGGGAACTACCCATGCCCCAACATTAGAAGCTCTATTCTATCGATATTGATCCCTCCTCCTGCTATACTCTACGCTACCCCAATTAGTGTTCAACTCAGCCCATATAGTCCCTCCAATCCATAGTGGTCGCTCGTTAAATTTTCTAATATTTGTAAACATGTCACGTATTCAAGTAGACCCACACTTCTCAAAATTCTTTCTAATTTTATCAATGTGCTGGGGCAGCCAATAAAAATCTCTCTGTATTTACAAACATACAATATAGAATATATATGTTTGCTAGCTTTTTTTTTTTTTGCTAGCTTAAGTAAAAAAGAATATATAATTTATTTAGACATAACATATAAAATATTATATACAAATACCTCAAACTCTCTAAATCACATATCTCGAACTTCTTTCGGGACTTTCTTCAAAGAAACAATAGGAGCAACATGCCTGTTGCGTATTATGTCCCGTATTTTATATGTGATTCTTTTGACGGGTGGAACCTACAAAAAAATATGCTATGTGAGAAAAATATTTATTCAATTTAAGTTGGATGTTAACAATATCATGTATGTACGTGTCACCGTCAGGTGCAATCAACATTCGACCATATGTCGCCTGCTCTGCTGCAGCTGGGGTCGAAGTCTTCAACCTCTGTAGGCTTACAATCCTCCATCCATCATAGATTGACAACTTGACTACGATCCTTCCGACTTCCATCTCCCGTCTACTCTCCTTCTAACCAAATCGCTTAATTATGTTCTTCTTATAATTATTGCCGTTTTATGTGCCCAAACCATCTAAGGCGACTCTCTCTAATCTTTTTCGCCAATGGAGCTACTCCAACCTTATCATGTATATGCTCATTTTGGAACCTATCTCTAAGGATAAAGCCACTCATCCACCTCAGTATCCTTATCTCTGCAATATTATGAATAATAGATCCAAGATATCTAAAACATATACTCTTATTAACAACTTGCTCACCCACAGTCACAATCCCCTCACTAGGTCTAGTACTTCAACTTCCTCTCTAGTCGTATCAATATGAATAATATCATCAGCAAAAAGCATACACCAAGGTACATCATCTTATAAATGTCTGGTGAAAAAATACATGAAAAAAATAAAATTTTATAGTGGATTATCCTAAAAATAGCGGCGGAGAAACGACATCAGAAAAAAGCATACACCAAGGCGTTTCGCCGGTGTCTAGTGAGAAAATCATTATATGCAAATGTCCAGTGAGAAACGACATCAGAAAAAAGCATACACTAAGCATATACTAAGGCACAATCTCTTCACCATTATATGCAAATGTCTAGTGAGAAAATCAACGAAAAAATAAAAAACTTACGGTGGATTATCCTCAAAACAGTGGCATTTCGCCAGCGACTGAGACTGTGAGCATCAACAAACTATGTGGAAGTCCGTTCGGTGATGGTCGGTCTTGGCAGCGGCGAGGTTTGACTGAGACGACGGAGGCGAGCGGAAACCCTAAACAAAACGGCGGAATGAAATAAGGCATATGGGCTCGGTAGAGAAATAGGGTTTCAACCGACAATTATTTTGGAGGATAAGCCACCGATGATGTTTCCGTCATCTTTTTCGATGGTAACATTTTGTATTGTGTTTAAAGTAACCGGCGTAATATCCGTCGGTTCGTATGCCGGCAATTATCGGCGTAAAATACGCCGAATTATACTATGTGTTTAAAGATTATGATGTCTATAACGATAAAAAATGCATTGAAAATGTACCGGAGTAAGATACACCAGTAAATCCGCCGTAATATTATCGTCGCATAAAATGCCAGTAAAAATGACATAAATATTGTTGGCGTATATATATGCGCCGGATTAATATATATATATATATATATATATATATATATATATATATATATAAAAAGATGAAATTAAAATTTATCTAAAAATTTTAACCCTAATTTTTGCATATCAAATAATATTAAGAAAATATTTTTTTAAATAAAAAAATTATAAAATTATATTTTCTGAAAAATTAATTTGATACATAAATACTTATATAAAAATATTAGCATAATAATTGTTATAAATTGAATCGCCAAAATTCTAATTATCATGTCTTTTTGCTGTGCAAAAATATTTTTTATATATATATATATATTGTAATATACAAAATATTATAATCACAACCGAATATAACTGCCAAAGACCGCATGCAGTCCTATGTCACATCTATCTACCGTGTGCGGTGAAGAAAACGCAGAGAGTCGCCGAATGCGTCTCCCTTTTTCTTTCTGTTGGAAAGAGAGAGAGAGAGAGAGCAGAACCGCATTCGGTGATTCCTCTTTCGCTCGTCTCGTGCCTTCGTCCTCGACGATTCTCTCGCGTCCACGCCTTTCTTCGTCAGATCGCGGGGAGGTTTCCTTTCGAGATCCATAGCTAGGCTGGCGTAATGGACAACGTCGGCTCTCAGGGTGGAAGCCCTTCGTCGGGGAGCTCGTCCGATCGGATGAAGCCCTCGGAGGGCAGCCCATTGGACGCTGGCAGAAAGACTCCAATTCCTAGTTCTATGTGCGTCTTTTCCATTATTTGATTTCCTTCCAAATGCTGCATCATTTTAGCTTCTCGTCTCTTTTGTTACATAAAAGGTTGCTTGAAATTAGAAATCAAGTTTTATAAAAAGTTCAATGAATTTGATTTCGTCATTTAGTTGGACTTAGTGATGAATCGATATTATTTATTTTCTCATGAAAGAATTAACGACCGAATGGTTAAAAGGAGATATTATTTTCCAAATAGTACTGATTTTAGTCACATCTCTCAGCATCAAACATTATATGTATATTTTCTTAAAAAGTTCAAAATTATTAACAAGTGGTGATTTTATTTTCACACAAAATATTAAAAAAAATTCTTCAATTTCAAAAATGTATTTATATCTTCAATAAACCAAATAAAAGCTAAAAGTGGCTGTGGAGCGGATGAAATATTATTGTTGATGTACTGTACAGGATGTAGAAAGCAAGAACACAGCCCTTATGCAGGTCACCAGATAGCCAGAAACTTGTTTGACATTTTTTGCCGTTTTTCTTAAACGTTTTGGTATGATCGGAAATTAGAGGTGTTGAATGAGATGATTGGTGGTTGTTGACTCTCATGATACTGTTACTAATGTAGAATTGCAAATGATTTCAGTTCATATACTCCAATTCTTTTTTGTGATGATTTTGTGAAGAAGGGAGCAAGCATGGAATGTAATTCCCCTACAGTCCTACTTACACTAATTAATGCATAATTTTTCTGAAATTTGGTTGACTTGAATGTCATGATGTGATAAAACTGATTCAATTAAGGTCTGTTTTAATTGCTTGTAGATTGAAAACATGTTTTAGAAAATGATGATTTCTTTTGCACTCATTACACCGAGAAAAATAAGGATTCATAAAACTAGCCCAAATATTTGGGATAAGGATAATGATGTGTGTGAAAATGAGATCAGTAAAGTTCTAAAGAGATTAACTTGTCTACCTCAATCAAATGATGAATTTAATAAACTTTATCATTTTTTTAAAAACGTTTTTCCTAACATCAAGCCACCAAATGAGCCCTAATTAGAAATTGAAGTAGAGTATTTTGAGAATTGAAGCTATCTTTTTTGTCTACCAACAATTAGCTCATTGAGACATATTCAACAAATTTGAAAATTGCTCCAACGTTTATGTAGATATTTATAGCCGGTATTTAAGGTTAATATGTTCATTGCTCAAAATATATGTTGCACCGATACGGATACGGAGACACGGATATGACACGATATAGATACAGGACACATCAATTCTTAAAAATACAGGATACTGGTATGGTGTGGACACAACATTATAATTTATAAATCATATATATATATTTTAGAAAGCAATCGAAGGAAAAAAAAAAAGAAAGCAATCAAAGCATAATATTTGAAATTACGAAAAAAAAAATAAAGTAACATCATTTGTAGCCTTGTAGGTTATAATATCAAAATAAAAGTAAGCATTAAATGTCTAGTACAACAACAGAAGCATAAACATAAATTGCCTAGCACATGAAGTTTTAACTATTCAATAGAAGGAATGATATGATTAGCTTCTTCAATGGTTTGTCTTTGAACTTCTATATCATCTTCAATAAATATCATAGATTCTAATTCAGGCTCATCAAGTGAAAGATTAGCAATTTCTAGTATTCTCATATCATCAAGAGACTCAAATCCATCTCAGAAATGAGAGAACCTCTCTCCAGCCGCGAAAGTAAATACGACGGGTTTTTTTTTTTGGGATTTTTTTTATTTTTCAACGTACACACGTATCGTACACGTGTCCTTTTGAAATTAAATAGTATTTTAATTAGATACGACAAAGTTGTATCCGACACGTATCGGTGCCGTATCGGAGGCATATCCATGTATCGGTGTATCAGATACAACACGCCTTCATAAATAGATGTATCGGTGCAACATAGCTCAAAATCTTTCTATAGAAATCTTTAAACCATTCTAAAGGCATCGAATACCAAATTTAACTGCCTACTTAGCTATAACTTCTTTTTGTATTTCATAAAATGTTAAGATAAAGGCTTAAGCTTTTTTTAATTTTTTTCCCTTCTTTTTTGTGGAAAATTTTGAATATAAAGGAGTGAATCACTAGCCGTGTTGATGATGGAGTCCGAGAATTACTGTGTTTAGTTTCTACAATATGATTCTTTGCAGCTGGTAATTGTCTATTATTTGCATTTTTAGTTGTTTATTATTTTTATGCATAATACATATGCTAAGTTTTGGTGGTCGACAAACGTTTAATCATCATTTGTAAAAGCTTTATTATACAAAGTTGAACCATTTGTATTTGGATGATATGATACTTGAATTATGAAATCTGAAAAGGCTAGAATTCTTTGGAAGTTCAGAAATTGTTCTCACAAAAATATGGAATCCGAAAATGCTAGAATTCATTGGATGTTCAGAATTTGTTCTCACACCACGTCTGATAAGCAAACAAGGGTATTACTTGTTAAAAGATAGAAGATTGCATGCCTTATCTCAAGAAGTACCTACTTCTGTTAGCGTGCGATCCATAAAAGTTTGGCAAACGCCACCTATTAAGAAATGGTAATGATTGTAGGCAACATGACAATGACATTTGAAAGCTGCTTTCTGTATTTAACGAGTCTGCTATGTCAGAGCATTTTCTTAATTCGACAATAGTATCCGATCACATTCTTACTTTTAGATGATCAGATTTTGAAGACATTAATAATCAAAACTGATAATTCTCAACATTAACTTAGGCTTCGTTTGGGATGGCTTTCTTCTTGCTTTCTAAAACAGTTTTTTAGTACAAAGATTTTTTGATATTGAAAATTTTATACTAAAAACTCATTTTAAAAAGTTGTACGAAAGCTGTCCCAAATGAAGCCTTAGTTTTTAGTGCAACTTTGCATGCTATGTCATAAGATCCATTTGGGACAGCTATTTCTTGTTTTTCCTTTCAAATATTGCTGCCACACTATTATTTGGTTTTTTTTTTTTTTTTGCTATTTTTAAAAATTTTTTGTTGTAAGATTTTACAACTAAATGTGATAGCTGTAAAAAATATGTTACCGATTTTTTTGAAAAGGAAAAGATTATAATACTCTTAATAGCTTTAAAAAGAAGTTGATTTCTCTACAACTATTTTTACAAACAGCCATGAACTCTCTAAATAGATCCTAAATATTCTATAAACCTTGCCCTTGCCTGTCTCAGGAAACTACCCGTTCTTGTTTGCAAGTCGGTGATGTCAGACTCATCAATTTGTTTGTAAAATTATTTTCATCTTACATAGCTCAAGCTAGACTAATCATAAGTAATGGTCCTATTTAAAATGGCTCATCTAGTATAGAGATAAACCCATATATACAATGATCGATTTAGTTTCAGACTAAATTGCTCCAGATCTGTCTCTGTAATGTCAAATGTTTAACTTTTCAGTAGTCTGATTATTAAACAAGTTGCAAATTAAAACGACTGTTAATGGTATGGACGTTCATATTGTTTAACATGTGTAGTTTGCTACTACGAGCCATGCTCAGTAACTAGTAGGTTACCTATCTTGATGCCATTCTTTTTTCATTTCAATGATAAAATTTTTCCATGGATATATTTTTAATTCCTTCATTCTTTTGAAGCAGAACTGTTGATGGGGAGAGAACAGTAAAGAGGCTAAAATTGTCTAAAGCTTTGACGATGCCTGAAAGTAGTTCAATCCTAGAAGTATGCCTAAGAATGGCTGCTCGTAGGGTAGATGCTGCATTGTTGATTGAACCAAATGCCTTGCTTTGTGGAATTTTAACAGATAAGGTAAGGGACCAGCTTTTTATTTTTTTGTTGGGGAGTTTGCAGGTGCAGTAGGACTGGGGGAATTTGCCATTCCAGGCTTCCAGCTAATGAGATTTTCTGCTTTTTCCATGGATATAAGGATATAGCGACTAGAGTTATTGCTCATGAAGTAAACATTGAGAAAACACCAGTGTCTAAAGTCATGACTCCGAATCCTGTTTTTGTTCTTTCTGACACACTGGCCGTGGAAGCGTTGCAGAAAATGTTGCAAGGTTTGTAATGAACCTAATAATATTTGGGCAAGCCAAGTGTTATTTCCTGCCAGTTACACAGTTCAAAATCAACCATTTTCAGGAAAATTCAGGCATCTGCCTGTTGTAGAAAACGGTGAAGTTGTTGCTCTACTTGACATAGCGAAGTGTCTCTATGATGCCATTGCACGGATGGAAAGGGTTGCTGAAAAGGGGCAAGCGATTGCAGCTGCTGTTGAAGGGTTGGGGAAGCAGTGGGGAAAATCATTTCCAAGTATGGTAGTAGATTAATTTATATATGTTGCCAAATACATGCATGCTGTCCAGCTTATGCTACTTTTTTGTGAAATGTCTTTAAATTCTACTTTCGTTATATTTTACCAATTTGAAAGTCAAGGAGCCGTAGAAAAGATGCTGTCCACTAAAGCTTTTTTTGTTTTGTATGCATTTTCGCCCTCCTGTGCTTGCAAAAATTGCATTTCCATATCCAATTGCTGTGTTTAGCCCTTGAAAAGCAGGGTTGTGACAGCGGAAGGGGCTACAGCGCCTCAATTTTACTGTAGGTTGGATAGGAATTGATTGTTATTGGCAGTCGGCTACTTGTGTCATGTTTTTGTTTTGTTTTTATGTAGGTCCAAAATCATTTCTTGAATCCCTTCGAGAGAAAATGTTCAGGCCATGCTTGTCCACCATCTTACAGGGTTATCCAAAGTATGTAGTTTCATTAATACGAAATTGTTTTCTGTTTGGACCTTTTGTATCTTGGTTTGTTTTATGTATAAAAAAATCTTTGACAGTCCTAAAAATTATCTTTGAACTCACGTGTTTATCAGGATTGCTATGGTCTCACCTACTGATTCGGTCTTATTGGCAACAAAGAAGATGCTTGAGCTTGAAGCAAGTTCAGCAATTGTGACTGTTGGAAACAAACCTGAAGGAATATTGACGTATGCTTTCTGTCATAGTTTCCTCTAAGAAGAAGCTCTTCCATTTTTTTTTTTTCGATCTTATGGTCTATTCTGCTTTGCTCAACCAGCTCAAGTGATGTTTTGATGCGTGTCATTGCAAAAAAGCTTCCTCCCTCTTCAACCTTAGTGGAGAAGGTAAGTTCATAGAATTTATCTTATCATTTCAACCTTAACCTTTCCAGTTCCAATGAGAGTAAATTTGTATGGCAAGCACATCTTCGTAGATATATACACTTTCAGAAAGAAGCTAAAGGGTAATTAATGAAAATTCTGAAGTTTCAATCGGCAAATGTAGGAATATGAACGTCCTTGATGAATGGTCTGTGCTTTGCCGATATAACTGGGAGTATTCACAATCATTAGGTGCAATGTCTGATTCTTATTGCCATTGTTAGATGCATATGGAAGCATGATATAATAAATGCTGCAAAAAGGAACTCGCTGACACTATCATATCAAGCTGAACGTGGCTTTTTATATGTCATTTTATTTGTCTCGTTTTTAAAGTAATTGGCAGCTGCATTAATATTTAGTATTTTGATATTTTCAGGTCATGACTGCAAATCCTGAATGTGGAAGTATTGATACGCCAATCCTTGATGCACTTCAAATCATGCATGTTGGGGAATTTCTGCATCTTCCCGTTGTTGATAGAGGTATCTATTTGTTGTTAATCTGATAATAATATACTCAAATGATTATATATTATCTGTTGCTTCACTTTATCTGACATACCGTTTGTGCTATGCAAAGACGGAAATATCGTTTCAGTTATTGACGTAATTCATGTTACGCATGCCGCAGTTTCCATTGTAAGTTTCTTTTGCTTTGCCCTTTTTTCATTATGCTTTCATGTTTTTTTAAAGCTGATATCAGATTTAAGGAGATTGTAAGCACCGAGCAATATTGTTTTTTCTCCTATTTCCTTCAACAAACTAAAATGGCAGAGGGCAAAAATGAATGCTGACTGCAAGCTAGAATGTTATGTCTGAAGTTATGGTATCTATTGATGGAAAAAGTTAAGAGCAAATTGCTTACATCATCACAACTAAGGGCACCAACATAAAATCTAGATCCAAGACAATGACTTATGATAAGAATGTAATCTATGCTTAATGGCATCTATAACTTGAACCTCAAGGAAGCTAAGGAAGCCCAACGCACCATCTTACAATCATGTTTGGGAAGCATAGCTATTTAAACCCCACCTATGTTTTTGGAAACCATACCGAAAAGGTTTGAATGAATGCAAGGTAGGCTAGATTTTTTTAAATTAAGAACTAAGACTTGCGAGTAAACTGTTGAAGCTAACCAACCCAACCGTACCGGTGTTATGCAACAAGATAATGCAAGTTTTCTGTTGGTATCTAGCCTTAATATGAAAGCGATATTCTTCTACTATGCGAACTTATTAAGCTTGCATATAATGTTCATTAGCTAGGCTCTTGTTGAGCATAAAATGAGTTCTCCTTTGTGAACAGAATAAACAACGAAACTGTTGTCTATATCTCCCAGAAACAGGAAGATAGAAGAAGCAAGTAAGATTTCTTTGAAATTAGTAGTTTATAGATACACCATACAAGTTCTATAATAAAACATTTACCTTATGATTAATTTCAGAGTGACTTACAGAAAATTTAGTCCTTTAAAAGCTCAATAAATGTGCTTTCAAGGCAATTATGTCATAATGAAAGAAGCCTAGAACAAAGCATTTTGTTTATAAAGAGCATGCAAATCAAGGCAATTACGTCATAATTAAGTTGATGTGTCGTACTTTAAAACTATGGGAGACAGTTATGGGTCATAGGCTACGTTGTGATACTAGTGTTTCTCAAAATCAATTTGGCTTTATGCCGGGTAGGTCTACTATGGAAGCTATGCATTTATTGAGATGTTTGATTGAGAAGTATAAAGAGAATAAGGAGGATCTACATATGATATTTATTGATTTAGAGAAAGCATATGATAAAGTTCCAAAAGAAGTGCTACGGAGAGTGGAAAAGAAAGGGGTTAATAATGCATATATTCAAGTCATTAGGGATATGAATACGTAAGCTGTTATGTGTTCAAACACAAGGTAGTTTGACCAAGTATTTTCCTATTGCAGTTGGATTACATCAAGGATCAGCCTTAAGCCCATATCTTTTTTGCTTTAGTCAAGAATATTCTGTCACGACCCAGCCCGGATGCTCGATTTAACGATGCAGAAACTAAAAGTCGGACTTTAAAAAAAAATTATTACACCACTTTCTTATTTGTACTGAAGAGCCATTAAAACTCAAATTTTAAATTACTTGTTGTCATTTGCACGTCGTTTTCTATATATGAATTCTTCTCTTTCAGTCATTACTTCTTCTTTGGGTATTTACCTAAAACATTAATTTAGGGGTTTGAGTTTACAGCGTAAACTCAGTGGATAATAATTAAAACCATCAATATAAATGTTCTTTAATATGCATCATGATATTTCTTAACATTATTTCATTCATTAAGTAATTTATACATCACTGGTCATTTTCTTTTAAAACATTTTAAAACATTTTGAAACTTTAATATTTCATTTTCTCATTTAGTTTGTACAGGAGCACCGTCTCAATGTACTCAAAGGTACAATATTTTCTAATTATTTCATTTTCCATTTTCATGACCTTTTCTTTTTTACGTGCACGAGTACGGCCTTCCCAGCCAGTACCATAAGGGGTGAACTCCTGTAGTTTTCATACATATCATTTTTCTTTCTTTTCCATTTATTTTGAACATTTGTTATTCATTGCATATGTCATTTCTTTGTTTGCATATTTCCTTAATACATACATTTACCTGAACTATATAACATTCTCCTTTATTCATATTCATAATTTCATTCATGTTAATTGATTCTTTCATTTTTTGTTGTAATAATATTTATAATTATTTAAGCATTTAATCTTTCAACATTTCACACATGATAATCTTTAAAAATAAAACATTGAAAGCAATATTATAATACAAAATATTCTATCGTATTGAAAGAATAATACAAAACATTGAATTTCATAATTATAATTACCCACTTTGAACTTTTTAGACCTTCAATGCTTGATATAACCTCGAATCAATTTCCCTCCTTGTTGAATCCTCGTGGGATGAACTCTTACGACTTGATATCTCCCTTCCTAAAACCCTAAATTCATACAATAACTTTCATAAGAAAAGTTTAATCACAAAAATTTTAACTAAAATTATTCTATGGAGAAATTACTTACAAATGGAAATCTCCAAATTCTTCTTCCTTTCCCAAAATCCTTCCCCTTGCCCTCAATTCCTTTCTTTTTCTTCTATGAAAAGTTCATCTAGGTTTAGATGAAACAACTTAAGACAATTTATACAAAAAAGGGAAGAAATTTTTTTTACAAACCTCCTTCTTTCTCCCTCTCGATCGTTCCTCTCGTTCATTGCAACTTCTCCCAATTTAGCACTTCCTTAATGATAAGAATGAAAAGGAATAGTTAATTCTTTTCCTCGAAGGAAATCATTTGCTAAAATTGGAAAAGCGAAGCCTACCTTGCTCTCCCGCACGAAGCCATCGTCCACCCTCTCTCTGTTTCGCGAACGCCTTCAGTTTCATGTACCCCATTATGTTTGTGATATTAATAGGGTAGGCCTGCCAGTTCAACTCCGGTTCAGTTGAACCGGCCGGATGAACCGGTTGTCACATATTCTTACTAGACATTTACAAGAGGATGTACCCTAGTGTATGCTTTTTGCTGATGATATTCTTCTTGTTGATGAGACTAGAGAGGGAGTTGAAGGTAAACTTGAATTATGGAGGTCAACCTAAGAGTCTAAAGGTTTTCATTTGAGTGGATCTAAAACTGAATACATGAAGTGTAATTTTAGTACAATAGATCTAGTGAGGGGTTTGTGACTTTAAGTGATCAAGTCATTAATAAGAGTACACGTTTTAGAAATCTCGGGTCTATTGTTTAGAGTGACGGTGAAGTATATGGGAATATTATTAGTAGATTTCATGTCACGACCCGTTCCAGATGCTTGATCTAACGAGGCGGGTACGAAAAGTCGGACGATAGTACATTTCCAAAAGTATAAAATAACTCATCATCAAAACTTTTCTATAAACTGAAGAGCCACTAAACACAAAAAAAATCTATTTTACCTGTTGTCATTTGCACCTCGTCTTCTATAAACATGTTCTTCTCTTTCAGCCATTACTTCTCTTAGGAATTACCTGAAACATTTAAACTCGTGGTTTGAGTTTACTAAGTAAACTCAGTGGGAAATTATGTAAATTTATCATTAAAATTAATTAATTAAGATATTTTATATCATTCTTAATCGTACTTCTTTCATTTCCTTAACTTATACTTCTCTTGATATTTTTCATTTATATCAATTTGAAGTAATTGTTATCTTTAATATTTCATTTATATTTCCTTTTTCCATATGATTTGCACAGGAGCACCGTCTCAAAGTACCCAAAGGTACTACCTTTTCCATATGATTTCCTTTTCCCATTTCCATAGAAATTTCCTTTTCCTTTTTCGTGCACGAGTACGGCGTCCCCAGCCGTAACTATAAGGGGGTGACTCATGTTATTTTCAATACCATTTTCCTTTATTCTCTTTTTCTTTTCTTTTCTCATTTTCATCTTTATTATTTCTATTTCATATAACATAATTAACATGCATTTTCATAAATAATTCTTTTCCTTTTCCATAAGCCTTTAAATCTTTATAACATATAGATTATTTCTTAAGACGGTAAAATCATAAACGTTTGCCTTCAACATTTAATAATATAAGATTTTTAATCAATTATTTAGAAAATTGAAATCATCAATAAAACATAAAATAATATAATTTACCCACTTTGAACTCTTCAGGTCTTCGATGCTTGATCTTCTCTTGAATCAATTTCTCTTCTTGTTGAATCCTCGCGGGATCAACACATACAACTTGATCTTTCACTCTCTAATTCCCTAAAATTCGAACAATAACTTTCATGTAAAACTTAAAATTATAATCCCATAATAAACTTATATAAAAAGAGTTTCACTTACGAATGAGAATTTCTCAACTCTCAAAATCCCTTCTCTTCCAATTTCCTTTTTCTTCGCTACAATCTCTTCCCTATCCTTCAAGAAACATATTATTCACTTTGAATGAAGTAAAGGAAGAGAATTTATACGAGAAATTCCAAAAAGAAATTAACAAACCTTTCCCTTAATCCTTATCGTCCGTTTCTCTCGTTCTTCCAATCTCTCCCAAAATAACACTTCTTTAACTGTGAGAAAGAAAATGAATGATAGATTCTTATCATCGAAGAAGATTATTCACTAAAATTGGAAAACGAAACTTACCTCGCTCTCCCACGAAACCCTCGGTCGTCCGCCCGTTCCCTGTTCGCGTGAACTGTTCTGTTCCGCGAACTGTTCTGTTCGCGTATTTAAAAGGGCGGGCCGGCCGGTTCGGTTGAACCGGCCGGAAGAACCGGTTGTCACATTTCAAGTTGGTTGGTTGAAGTGGAAGAATGCATCGGGCTTGTTGTGTGATAGAAAAGTGCCACTCAAACTTAAGGGAAAATTCTATAAGATGGTGGTGAGACCTGCAATGATTTATGGTACATAATGTTGGCCATTAAAAGAGAAGCATAATATTAAGTTAAGTGTTGTAGAGATGAGGATGCTCAGGTGGATGAGTGGCTTTACTCTTAGAGACAGTATACAAAACGAGCATATACGTGAAAAGATTGAAGTAGCTCTAGTGGCAGATAAGATTAGAGAGAGTTGCCTTATATAGTTTAGTCACATAAAACAACAGCCTTCTGATGTCCCAGTTAGGAGATTAGATGTATTAGATTTGGCCTATATATGTTAAGGAGGGTAGTGGTAGATCTAAAAAAGACTTGATTAGAACATATTAGAAATGACATTTCTTTATTATATTTAAATGAAAATTTAAATCTTACTATGACACAATGGAGAAAAAAGATTCATGTAGCTGATCCCACATAGTAGGATAAATGATTGATGTTGTTGTTGTTATATGCAATGTTTTGGTGCATATGGTTTTTCATTTCACCCCAAAAAAATAAATAGACAAGACAACTATGTTTTTCCATATATATAACCAAGAATTTAAGGCCATACACAAATGTCAGAGTATGCGGGCTTTTGGTTTGCTCCACCAAGTATATACATGTACATATGGTTCTCCAACATGCACATACGACTTTCTTAGACTAACATTATATCATGAACATAAAGATTACATTTAGGACTTCACATACCATCTACAATTTCCGTTTGAATTTTAATTTGTTCTAGCAAAGTAGCACTTTTTAGAGCTTAAAAAGGAAGAAAATCTCTCTTCTACTATATATAATCACAAACAAACAACATGTCAACCCAATAGTACATTACATAGCCAAGCGATAAAATGCAAAATCTCAACTACATTCTAATCTAAGATGCCTAAATATTTTGTCTATCGCTACATATAGTATGGATCAAATCATGTTACATAAAGAAAGATACAAATGACATGAAGAAATATACAACAAGACTATTACATCATATCACATACCACAATAATTATCTTGACATATTAACACATGCATAACATTGGAAAACAAACTACAACTACTATCGAAGTGACACAAAGGGTTATAAATTGTAGTTTAAATTCTCATGATCTTAGGCCAATCATCCAACCTTAGTAGTGAAATCTGAAGTTCTTTAAGATCCACCCAATTCATGGAAGCACTCTCATTCTGCATCACCTTCTACTCTTTTTTTTTTTTCATCACCTTCTACTACTCATCCTTCTTTGATGGCTATGGAGTATTTATAATTTTCCCTCAATTTAGATATTTGGAATGAAAGGAAGATATAATCACTCTTGCATATTTTTGAATTTTCAATGCTTTCAGGAAAGCTTCTATCATCTTTGCACAGCTTTCTGATTTCCAATTGCTAGTGAAAACTACTTATTTGTTTATTTCTACTATATAATTTGAGTGATTCTTTCAAGTCTCAGCATATAATGCACTCTATGTGATGTATATTTGCTACATCGAGCCAAGACCTTTTTTCTAAGGAATGACCTCATTTGCAATCAATTGAAAACACTAGTGAATTCATTCAAACTGGGCTAGGCCCCGTGGTTTTTTTCATTTTCAGGAGTTCCCACGTAAAAACTCTGGTGTCTCTTATGAATGCTTCACTCACTTATTTATCTGTTTGCATGTTGGATCTTCGTACAAAGCTAACATGCTAAACTATATCACTCTCTACCGCCGCAAATTTTTCAGGACGCAACAAATATACTCTCATTTTGAAGTTAATGTTCTATTGCTCCCTGTTTTCCTGTTAATTTTAGGTTATGTTTTCTGGTTGCTACACCATTATTTCTTGTTGCTCTTGAAGCAGTAATCATCTAATTTATAAACTAGAGAATTTACTTTTAGAAGTACTGCAGGAAATTACTGAGAGTTAATCCAACTCTACCTCATACTATACCTTGAATCTTCTAAGGGTTCCTTTTGCAAAATTGCAAATCCAGCAACAAGCAATTCCGAGTTGACGATGCGCCAATCAACTCTTTTCTAAATAAATCCCAACTAATAATGACAGCACATTTTCGCAATAGGTAGTACAACCCATCAATCGGGACACAATCATGAACTAAATCTTCTAAGATCAGGGATGAGTTTAGTGTTCAACAACTCCCTTGATGCCTTAGATCCACAGGATGATAATGATAACCTCTTTGCTCTCAGAGTTGCAATGAATGACTATTAAATCATTCAGAGAAGATAAAACCAGAAGGTTCATCCAATTTATGAAATGATTAATTCTTGGAGATGGTTTAACCAAATCGTAGCTTGTCCTTTCCAAATTAAAGCAGTTGAACTCAATCAAAGCCTGTCATTGGAATTTTCCGGCTCAAGACCACGTTATTCTACTTAAGACTGGCTAGTTGCTAGAAGATTTCAAGGAAATGAACTGTTGTAATGTAGAGCCTGCTACCATTCATTTTTCATGAAAGTAACGTGGATCTTCTTATTTGCATTAATCAAGGTTGAAAGTGCTGGGGGCTTGGGGAACGAAAGTACAACTTCAATGATGCAGAAATTCTGGGATTCAGCTATGGCAATTGGTACTTCTGATGAGGATGAGGAATTGCGGAGGTATGATGCTCCATCTTATAATTACAGTAAAAACATTCCACGCAAAACTTTTCCGACAATCATTTTTACAAAATATATACTAAATCGTCTGCCATACTTTCTCTCCAGTGAAGCATCGACAAAATTTGCTTCTGAGGCTGATACCAGTAGCTCTCCAGCTTTTCCTTTTCCAGGCGTACCCACTGCATTTTTCTTTAAGCTAGAGGATAAAAGGGGCAGGATGCACAGATTTAGTTGTGGTATGCCTTTTGGCTTCGATCAGAAACCTGACCAAAGAAACTCCTCCCTTTCTGCGTGCACTAAAATATAGTTTTACTTAAAACAAGATATGCTAACTAGGAAATTTCTAGGCTTGAAAGTTGTGTTTAAGCTTTTATGTTGTTTCATAATCAATTTAAACACTTCATAGCACAATCACGTTACAAGAAGTTCGATATTGTATCTGTAAAATTCACCCTAAACTTTCAATTTTAGATGCTCGGAGCATGACAGACCTTATCACTTGCATCCTCCAGCAGGCAGGCGATGACATCGACAGGAACCATCTACCACAAATTTTGGTAACACCCTCGCATTGGGTTCGGATCTTCTACAATTATCATGGTAGCTGAACATGTTCAGTTGCTTCATCCCAGCTGTCCAATCCCTTTTAAGTGGCTGTGATAGGATTTAAGCTTTGTTACTGTTTCATAAAGCAACTTTTATAAAAAATTAATATTTTTATATTAGAAAGCTATTTTAAGAAGTAAAAAAAAAGTCTTAGATTTTGTTTGGAATAATTTTCTTACTTCTTCTTAAAGCAGCTTTCTAATATAAAAATTTAAATTTTGATACTAAAAAATTATTTTGAGAGGTAATAAGAAAATCGTCCAAAACAAAGCCTTAATTTTCGTCGCCTAAAGTGAACTAGAAGGCTGGGATGCGGCAACTGCGCATCCCCAATCATGAAAATGGAAGAGTATCCAAACCCCACCATTAATATATTTTCCTTTTTGAGTCTGCAATTGCTGGATCCGTCTTTATCAAAACCTTGCTACGTTAGTGAAATTAATTTTCTAAAGCATGATTGTTGATTGCACTGTCTTCCACACAGTATGAAGACGAGGATCATGACAAGGTGGTTCTCTCATCAGACGGTGACCTTGTCGCAGCTGTGGACCATGCTAGGCACGCTGGTTGGAAGGTACCATATATAACTTGTTCTGAACTATTTTTGTCCCGTCGCTTTCAATTAGATAAAAGAAAAGGATTGGGGTGATGTTATCTGTACAAATAACATTAGTTTTAAAGCTTTATTAACAAGATAAAAAGTTCACTTTGCAAATAAGAACAATTAATCCTGTTCTCTGAAAACCGAACATTATCGTTATAGTTTGTCAAAAAACTTAATTATTATTCTTGGAGTAATATCAAATTTATATGTGAATGCTTCATAACAAATTAAAAGTACCCATGTTTTATGAAAAAAACTCTCCAATAGCAACACTGGGATCAACAAACTTAGACTTTGTTTGGTACGGCTTTCTTACTGCTTCTTAAAACATATTTCTAGTATAAAAGTTAACTAGAAAATTGTTTTAAGAATCAATAAAAAAGCTGTTCCAAACAAAATCTTAAGTTTTGTTTGGGACAGCTTTCGTCTTAATTCTTAAAACAATTTTTTATTTCAAAAAATAAAATTTATGCACTAGAAAACCGCTTCAAAAAGCAGTAAGAAAGCAGTACCAAATGAATCCTTAGTCGAAATTGTGGCATATATCATGTATGCCACTGTTAATTATTGTTGTTTGCAGATATAATACATTATTTTCCTTGTTTGTAAAATTTTATTTATTTATCTTGTTTGTTAATTTTTAAAGCTAACACTGCCGTTGCCAGGTCCCAAGTCCTGGATGAGAAAAGTGGAGGGTTGCGTTAGGTAGTCGACAGCCAGCGTAAAACTTGTCGAACAATAATGACATGAATCCTTTAAGAAATTGTGTTAATGCTAGGGCGTCCCCTGGAAGCGACGCGCTGTATGGCCTGAATACAGTGACAAGTGTGCAAGGGCCGCTGCACCGGCGCCTGGGTGCAGTGTTAAATAGGCAAGGGTTCCCACATCAAGGACGGATGTGGGCAAAGAAGCTAGTCCTTGAAACTAAAATTAGGATAGGAACTTGGAATATAGGTTCCCTTACAGGAAAATTAATGGAATTAATAGATATTATGATTCATAGGAAGTTAAATATTTTGTGCATTCAGGAAACTAAATGGGTTGGAGATAAGGCTAAGGAAATTGATAGTTTAGGATTTAAACTTTGGTATTCAGGTAGGAGTCGTACTAGAAATGGTGTAGGTGTTATTATAGAAAAGAGTTTAAAGGATAATGTTATAAAAATTAATAGAATTGGAGATAGAATTATAGCTTTAAAGATTGTTGTTGATGATAAGATTATTAATATTATAAGTGCTTATGCTCCTCAAGTAGGTTTGGATATGAGTTCTAAATTAAATTTTTGGAATGACTTAGAAGAATTAATACAAAATATACCTCTTGAAGAAAGAGTTTTTATTGGAGGAGATTTAAATGGACATGTTGGTAGAGAGGTAGATGATTTTAAAAGCATTCATGGTGGCCATGGATTTGGAACGACGAATGAAGGTGGCAAGACCATATTAGATTTTTGTTTAGCTTATGATTTTTCAATTGCTAATACCTTATTTAAGAAAAGAAATGAGCATCTCATCACTTATAAAAATGGATATAATACAACCCAGATTGACTATTTTCTTATTAGAAAATTAAACCGTTTAGATTGCAAAGATTGTAAAGTTATTCCGAGTGAAAGTTTATGTACCCAACATCGATTATTAGTTTTGGACTTTAAGATAAAAGGGCATAAAATAAAAAATAAAGTAAAACAATTTTCTAGAATTAAATGGGGGCATTTAAAGAATATTAACAAAAATATTTTTGGAAATAAGATTTTAGATCTTAAGATTTTGTCTGTGCATGAGGATGCTAATATTATGTGGGAAAAAGTGGCTAGTGATATTAAGAATATTGCAAAAGATGTCCTTGGAGTATCAAAGGGAAAAGCTCCTAATAGTAAAAATAGTTGGTGGTGGAATCCAATTGTGCAAGAAAAGATTAAAAATAAGAAGATTTGTTATAAAAATTGGTTTAATTTTAAAAATTATGATAATTAAGAAATATATAAAATGGCTCGTAAGGATGCTAAGAAAGCAATATGCGATGCAAAGACATTAGCTTTTAGCGATTTATATAATAGATTAAATACTAAGGAGGGAGAAAGATATATGTATAAGTTAGCCAAACAAAGAGATAGGAGTAGTAAGGATTTAGTTCAAGTGAAGTGTATTAAGGATGAAGATCAAAAAATACTTTTCTTAGAAGATGATATTCAACAAAGGTGGATGAGATATTTTGCTAAACTTTTTAATGAAGAGTGTGAAAATAAGATTGACTATAGTGACCTTAGCACCCTAGATGAAAATAAAGATTTATGTTTTTATCGGCGTATTAGTAAAACTGAAGTTAGAGAGGCTTTAAAGAAAATGAAGGGTGGAAAAGCTGTTGGACCTGATGATATTCCAATAGAGGTGTGGAAATGCTTAGGAGATGAAGGAATTTCATGGCTTACTAAACTTTTTAATACTATTTTGAAGACTAAAAAGATGCCAGATGAGTGGAGAATGAGTGTATTAATTCCTATTTTTAAGAATAAAGGTGATGCACAAGATTGTGCGAATTATAGAGGTATTAAGTTAATGTGTCATACTTTAAAACTATGGGAGCGAGTTATGGAGCATAGGTTGCGGCGTGATACTAATGTTTCTCAAAATCAATTTGGATTCATGCCGGGTAGGTCGACTATGGAAGCCATACATTTATTAAGAGGTTTGATGGAGAAATATAGAGAAAATAAGGAGGATCTACATATGATATTTATTGATTTAGAAAAAGCATATGATAAAGTTCCAAGAGAAGTGCTATGGAGAGTTCTTGAAAAGAAAGGAGTCAATAATGCTTATATTCAAATCATTAAAGATATGTATGCAGGAGCTATTACTTGTGTTCAAACACAAGGTGGATTGACCAAGTATTTCCCTATTTCGGTTGGGTTACATCAAGGATCAGCCTTAAGCCCATATCTATTTGCTTTAGTCATGGATGTTCTCACTAGACATTTGCAAGAGGATGTACCTTGGTGTATGCTTTTTGCTGATGATATTCTTCTTGTTGATAAGACTAGAGAGGGAGTTGAAGGTAAACTTGAATTATGGAGGTCAACCTTAGAGTCTAAAGATTTTCGCTTGAGTAGATCTAAAACGAAATATATGGAGTGTAATTTTAGTAGTAATAGACCTACTGAAGGGATTGTGACTTTGGGCGATCAAGTCATTAATAAGAGTACACGTTTTAGATATCTTGGATCAATTGTTCAAAGTGATGGTGAAATAGATGGGGATATTATCAACAGAATTCAAGTTGGATGATTGAAGTGGAGGAATGCATCGGGCTTGTTATGTGATAGAAATGTACCCCTCAAACTTAAGGGAAAATTCTATAAGATGGTAGTGAGGCCTGCAATGCTTTATGGTGCCGAATGTTGGCCATTAAAAGAGAAGCATAATACTAAGTTAAGTGTGACAGAGATGAGGATGCTCAGGTGGATGAGTGGCTTTACCCTTAGAGATAGGATACGAAATGAGCATATACGTGAAAAGGTTGGAGTAGCTCCAGTAGAAGATAAGATTAGAGAAAGTCGCCTTAGATGGTTTGGTCACATAAAACGGCGGCCTTCGTTGTTGTTGTTGTTGTTGTTAATTTTTAAAGCTGGAAAAAAATTATGATAGGACATCCTGATCAAAATGCATCAAGATGAGCTTCAGAGATCCTGAATCTAAATTTATATTAGTATTATATATAACATCCTGAATTATACTAATTTGATTATAAATCTAAGAATTTTAAAACTAAACTTGATGCATTTTAGATCCGGCCATCCTAACATAATTTTTTTCTTTACAACTATTATCCCCTTCATAAAAACACCAATCTATCGAGGTTTTTATTCAAATAGCCCACAACATTTACAGCATTATATTTCAATCTTGCAGGGACTGAGATTATATCTCGACTTTTCTGATTCTCATCGTAGCGTTGGCAAAGAAATGGGGGAATCAGTAGCCATTGACCATTCAAGAGGAGAAGCATGGCAAGCTGCATATAAAGCAATTGCAGCTGGGGCTGCACTTGTTGCAGGTCTAACCATGGTGGCTTACTTGAAGAGAACCGGTGGCTCCTCATAATAGTATATGAAATTGTATAATATTATCCTCAAATGTGAAACATTAAAAAAGTCTTAAATTCTTTTTACAGAGTCTCTTATAATAGAACTTTTATTACATCCAGTGAACGTACGCTCCTCTACGTTCGGTTTAGACAAAAAAAGCGTCTGTACCGAGTTGTACCGAGTTTTTTCAAAAAATTCAGTGCAGACGCTTTTTTGTCTAAACCGAACGTAGAGGAGCGTGCGTTCACTGGATTTAATAAAAATTCCTTATCATAATGATTCTGTTCATGTGAAGGTAGAAATATTAAATTATTTTTGTGAGGTCTACGCCAAAGTCTTTATTCCTTCGGTCTTTATCATAATTTTCAGTTCGCCTCGTGTTTTTTGTGAAAAACGATTCTGTGATAGATAGAAGCTTTTTTAAGCAATAATTGTCAGTCTGTCAATTGACGAGCAATAAAAATAGTTGTTTATGTGCGAGTTTGTTCTGGGTTAGGTGTAATATTAAAGAAGGCTATAATGCAGGCGGAGAGATATTTCGCCTGATTTCCATCATGAGCTTCTAAGATTGATTTGTTTTTTTTTTTATTATATTTAAGTAAAAAGTAGAATTTTGATTTATGAATTAATAGGTCACCTATGTCTTGATAGAACATGAAATTTGAGACATTTGAATTATAAACTTCTGAATTAAAATTCAAAATCATTTGATCACCAATTTCAATAAATTTATAGTTAAATTGACATCTCAACAAGATGATCCTAAGAATATCAAAAGTGGTGCAATCCGAATCCGAATGAGTCAATATCATTCACATCAAGCATAATTAAAATTTTTAAGGCATTAATTGAAGGATCAAATCATCTTCAAAATTGGCATAATTATTGTCAAATTGAGTGTCTTGACAACAAGAATTCAACGAGCCCGATATCACTTAAATATGATATCATTAAGATATTTGAATGCTGAAGAAATGATCTATGATTGAAGAAATCAATATAGGTCATTTGATAGAGTGTTATGTGTAATAACTCGAAAATATAAAAAAAGTATTTTAAAATAAAATTTTGAATTTCTATTTGAACTAGAGCGCTTCGGTGCTACGCTTGGTAGCGCTAGGGCACTAGGCTTGAGATCATAGGGGCACAAAAAATCTCAGTCATGACATTAGATGCAATGTTCTCCAATAATTAAGGATTCAACATGCAGAACTGTAGTGATGGGTTGAAGCACTCCTGTGTTAGACCACTAATAATATTTTTATACATTTTTTATTCTAAAGTCCTAAACACTTAAGTCACCCCAACCATTTCGCTTCCCCATTTCGACTGGCTTGCTGTGGAAGAAGAGAGGAAAAGTGAGAGGAATAAGAGAAAGGGAAGAGAGAGAAAGCTAGGTTTTGATCATTTTTGTCTGTTGATTCAATTAGGAAATGTCTTCTGATCGTAGTAAGTAACACATCTTATTTTGGTTTTCAATGATTTTGAATTTGACCCTTCACTGTGCAGGTTCTCCTTAATAGTGGGTCTAGGCGTTGGGCCATTTTCTTCACTTAAAATATCAATTTTACATTATTCACTCCACTCGATTCATTTTGGCAGCCTAGGGAGAGAAAGAAAGGAGAATTTTGGAGAGGAAATAAGAGGATTTGAGCTGCTTCGGGTTGCTTTTAATCATCAACCCAGTTCTCAAAGTTGATTGGATAGAGGCAAATCACATTGTCTATCTCAGTTTTTAAAAATTTAAAGTTTTTTCAAAATTGTTTTCTTTTATAGTTAGGAGTTATTGATAGATTAATAATTATTAGTGATCTCCTCGTTATTGTAAATGTGATTTTGGTAAATAAATATAGTAAAATATTTTAATGTGTATGATATTTAATTACTTTTCGCTGGACATATTAATTTATATTGACATGTTATAGAAGCTCTGATAGATGATTTAAAAGATAAATTAGATACTTCTTTCAATTTAAATCTTGGAGAGTGAGAAATTTGATATCATAGCAGTTATTGGATGAATTGAATTGCAATAAGCGCTATATGAATTGATTATGAGTGGGATAGAAGTTGAGTAGTATAGATTTTCATTTTTGTAATTAATTAATTGATAAGCACATGCATGTATGTTAAGTTTGTGTGTTAATTAATTAGGATAAAGAATTATATCAGTGGACAGATGGATCTTATTGATCAGGATACACGTGATGGACAAAGTGTAACAACAAATCCACATTCAACATTAATATGGAGTTATCACTCTTTGACCGTCGGCACGATCAGTCATTAGTTACATGCTATAACCGGGATAACACTCCAAACTATATTTAAAGGAATGCTCGTCGGCTCACTCTTTTGCTTAGGGTATTATATTTTAACAACCAACCCATATATAGCCTTCCTTTCTTGTATATAAATGTCAAATTTATTTTATATCAATCTCACTTTATATATTAAATACAGCGTGAAATGCTTAAATATATAAATACAAGAAGATATGCATACTAATCTATACCTTAAAAAAATCATAAATTTCACTTTAACTGGTGAAATTTAATAATATTACTATCAAAATGTCCATAAAATTCATATATATCATATATGAAAAGTTACACGATAAAAGTGCGAGAAATCACGAAAAATTTATTTTAAATAATTTAAGGGAAATTTAATTCATCAAACTCAAAATAATTGAAAACAAAAAATGAGATTTAAGTTATTTTTATTATGTTTAGAAAACTTTTCATAATTGAAGCAATTGACAAAATGACCAAAACCTAACTTTATCTTTCTTCTCTCACATGACACCTGACACCTCACTTTATACACACACATACATATGTATGAATTCAAGCATTTATTACATGGATTTTCTTCACAAGATAGTTTGATTACATGGATTTTTATAATACCCAAAATTTTCAAAAATATGAGCATAATTTTTTTTTTCAAAAATATACCCCATTTGATCATTCCTCCCTAACATATCAATTTTATTTTCATTAAATCATACACACACACACACAACAACAACAACAACAACAACGAGAGCTATCTAATTTCTTTTATCAATATAAATATAAGTGAAAATAAAACTATTGATCAAAATAATAATATATACATATGTACTCACTTCTAAAAAATTATATATTTTACTTATTAGGATCTATAAATTCATTTCACAACTACTCTGTCCTGAATATAAAAAATAACTAAAATAGAAGAAAATGAATCTAAATATGAAAGATCATGATCAATATCACACTCTTGCTCCCTTACATTGACCTAAAAATATATAATCACATATAATGAGCAAAAAACTCCACAAGGAAATCAAATCCTACAACTGAACTCAAAGTACGATAAATGAACAATATACATGTAAACAATCAAATCATAGTAGTTTTGATCATTAAATTAGTACATAAATAATAAATTTATATGATACAAACGACAGTAAATCATTACAAGTGTCAAATTATGATGTAGACAGGGGGGGTCAAATCAAACCCAAAAATTTGATTTTTGACTTCTCTAGCTCATTAATGTCAAGTGGCCGGAAGGTTAGCTCATTATGAGCTGGTTTTTAGTTCATTTATGGAGCTAAAAATTAGCTCATTATTTCTTTGTTCTTGTTTATTCTCCTCCCCCCCTTGTCTATTCATTTCCTGTGGATGGCTCTTGGATTTTCGTGCTTTTGGCTCCTTGGTTTTTGTGGTTGGCTCTTCGGTTTCCTGTGCTAGGGCTGTTCCAGTGCATTTACCTCCTTGGTTCCATGACCGGCTGCTGGTTTCCTATGCTGGGAAGAATCCCGTGCCTTCCCCTTTGGTTCCTGCGGCTGGGCTCCTCGGTTCCCTGCTTGGGTTCCGCCTGTTCTGCTTTCCCGTGAATGTTGGGGGGCATTTTCCCGTGGATTTGAAGCTCTGTTTCCTATGCAATTTTGGGTTGCTGAATGGTGGCTGTTGGCTTTTCATTTCCTCATTTAAATTATGTATTTGAAGGGTTTTTGGGGCTGTTTGTATTCCCCTTTCGTGCCTATAAATAGGAGTTATTTATGGTTGTTTTAGTATGTTATGTGAATGTTTTTTGGAAATGTAAACCTGCGGGTTTTGTTGGAAAAGCTTGCGACCTTTGTCCACTTCTTCTTCTCCTTTCCTCTGGGAAATCTTGCGAGCTCTTTTCATCCTTCTTCTCGGCTTCTAAACTCTTTCATCTCTCCGCAAGTTTACACCCCACCTGTATCCCTCTTCTCAAAGTAAGCAACTTTAGGGTATCTATTTATTAGGGTTCGAGTGTAAGAGCCTTTATTTGTAAGTCATTTTATTATATAAAGTTGTGTTTTATAGTATTTGTGTTCTTTTAAACATTTTTTGACTTTATTTTGTTCCTAGAAAGAGTTTGTTTTTGTGATAAAAAATTTGGGGCCCTCTCCCAAATTTTTTATTGCATCAAATTACTAAAACAATCATCATATAAATAATGAAATTAGTAGAGAAATTATATAAAATGATAAAATCAAATCATCTATAAAGACTGTCAAAATCAAATCAATATAATAATATAATATAGGAGTGTATACATACTATCATGTTATTACATATCAATATTAAATTAGTATTTTAATGACATTCTCAATATATACCATATTACATGTTCAATGTATATATCATGCATTTTGTATCAATAAATTAATAACAATATTAATAATAAATTTATGCAGTAATATAAATAATGCCCCAATAATATTTATGTCAATAAGTAAGAATTCTGGCTATCACAGTGTCATTTAATATTGTATCAGTGTTGGTAAACCATTGACTAAGTAATGAGAGTCGTCACTCTTTGCATATCAATACAGTAATCGTCTCTATATAACACCCAATTAGTGTATCACATGAATTAGTAGAGGATAACATCAAACCATAATATTCACTACAGGAAAATCACTGATTTCCGGCGGAATTTTCCGGCGGCTTTCCGACGGTCACATTTCCGGACTAAGTAATGAGAGTCGTCACTCTTTGCATATCAATACAGTAATCGTCTCTATATAACACCCAATTAGTGTATCACATGAATTAGTAGAGGATAACATCAAACCATAATATTCACTACAGGAAAATCACTGATTTCCGGCGGAATTTTCCGGCGGCTTTCCGACGGTCACATTTCCGATGGCTTTCCGGCGCATTTTCGACCGTTTTTCTCCACGGAATTTTCCGGCGTCTTTTTCACCTTTCCGGCGGCTATTAAAAATTTAATAAAATGAATAAAATTTTTACTATTTAAATGATTTAAAAAAAATTATTAAAACTTATATTAACAATTTAATTAATTTTCATTTTAAAATTAATTATTTAGTTAATTTTTATTTTATATTAAATATTATTTTTTATTTTAAATTAAAT